TTTTTCAAATTTGCTAAAATATTTTTAGCAAATATTTTTCAAATTTGCTAAAATATTTTTAGCAAATATTTTTCAAATTTGCTAAAATATTTTTAAAGGGTTTCCTTTATGCTTCCATTTCATAAAAATTTTTTGAGGAAACTATTTTTAGATAGTATCTTTGCTTTGAGCTCAAACTTGTTTAGTGATCAAACATGCTAAATCAATAGAGTCCAAGAACTAAGTTTTTATGGTAGCTGTGTTCTGGCATCTAATACACTTTTTCCCATCAATCTGTTTTAGAAAGCTTTTTCTAACCTCCCCAATTTACTGTTTACTCAGCAACAGTTTATGTGAAACAGATACAGAATTCTTAGTAAAAAATTTTATAAAAATCACAACAGAGCTTGAGAAAAGAATACCACAAGAGATGAACAGATACATATGCAATCATTTAGGGAAGAAGCTTGAACTGTCATTTTGTCCTCTACGTTTCTAATCACACTTAAAAGACCAGTGTAGCAGAAGGAAGAGCAGGGAATGAACTAAGGAAATGTGTACATCAGAAATGAACAGTGCCCTCTCTTTGGCCAGGCATAGCTTCTTTTCATCTCACTTTTCCAGAACAGACACCTGAGTATCTCCTTTTTAAAATTCCTGCCCTCCGGAGAACATCACACACTGGGCCTGTCATGGGATGGGGGGAGGGGAGAGGAATAGCATTAGGAGAAATACCTAATGTAAATGACGAGTTAATGGGTGCAGCAAACCAACATGGCACATGTATACATATGTAACAAACCTGCATGTTGTACACATGTACCCTAGAACTTAAAAAAATTTCCTGCCCTCTCATCAACTACTTCAACAAATGTTTATTGAATAGTTACTCTATGGAATCACTTTGCCTTACAGAATATGGGATAAAAAACAGAAAAAACATTGTATTTGTCATATGTGACAGAATAATACTGATGGCAACCCTTTATAGAGCAAAAACTTCAAACTGGACACTGTACTGAGTAGCTTATAGATATTAGTACATTTTAATCCTGCAGAAAATCCCATTAGCTAGATATCATCTCCTGTTCATATAGATGAAGGAACTGAAGCTCAGATTAAGTCATCTGCCCAAGTTCAGACCATAAGTGGTAAAGCCAACGCTCAAGCCCAGGTAGGATGGCTGATTACTGGGTCTTTGTTCTTAAAAATTCTGGAGATGCTTTGTGCAGTTTGAAACAGTATTTTATTTCATAGTTCTATTCTTATAGAAAGCTAAATTTTAGAATAATATAAAACTAAGGCAAATTATTCATGCTAACAGTTTCATCTATTTAGCATTTGGTCAATTTGCCCTTGATTAGTGAAATCAACCCAGCTTAAGACTGTTGAAAACTGTGTCATATTGATCACAACGGAGTATTTTCAGATAGGCTTTGATTTGAGGTAATTTATAAGATTGCAGGTTGGCATAGCCACTAAGTTGGTGAGCCACTTAACAAAAATTTTCTTTTTCAAGATTGTATCATCAAAGCCTTTTCAATATGGGATTTAAATAAATGTTTGTTGGATGAATGAGCAAATGACTAAATACATTGGTTTAAACAAGTTTTTAGCCTGGTAACTGATAAAGAATTCTCTACTTTTAAAGGGTAAAGAAAAGTGCTGGCTTTGATAGCAGGGAGTTTTTATATTCCTGGTATAAAGGCAACCTATATTCCTCTTTACATTTTTGATGTCTATAACTGGAAGATTCAGGTAGTTGGTCAGCAGTCCTAGACTAGGGCATTCTTTCAAAGAAAGGTGTGACTTTAAGAGCATCAGCACAGGAATACACTGCAAAGGGCTGAGATGACTAAGCGGCATGAAACCTTGTGAGTCAGTGCAAACTTCTGAAGGGTTGAACTCTAAGACGGAATTCAGCGTGGGGCATGATCTTCAAAGTTTAAGAACAACACAAGGAGAGAGCTGTGATTCACATAGCTGGCTAAGGATCTATAGGAATGTAATACATTTGAACCTGGTGTTTAATTATTTTAAAAACTTATTCCAGAACAGCATTTTCCAAAGTATGTCCAGTGTAATAATAGATGCCACCTGCAAAAAGGATCCATGGTCAAACAGTTTGGGAATCAGTGGATTCAAATAAAATTAAAAAGGTTTCTTTAGTATTAATGTGTGCTGTGAATCTCAAAGGCAAAGAAAAAATAATTTACTATTTCCATAACTAATCTACCTATGCAACTCTTTCTTTGTGGAAGATTTCTTGGGATTATAATTTGATGAAACAAACTTGAACTGCTGCTCAAAAGTAGTCATGTCTACTTTAATGTTGGTTAAGTTTGAAAATAACAGCTCTGACCTGGAACTCACGCAATTAATATACTTTATAGTTCTGATTATTAAAGTGTGAGAATCAAGGCTCCTCTGCTGCTTAGCAGCAGTATACTCTCAATTGTAGGAAAGATATATAAAGGTATTGAATTGTAATCCTAAAGTTGTAATATGTAACTATAAAGTTACAATCCTATATAATTTCAAGTTGTTTTCTGCTACACCCCCCCCCCACCCACCTTTTCCTAAAAGGGTACCATGCCATAGCTCTCATCATTCAAAGAACCTGCATGGTGATGGGCATTTGAACTCTGCTTTTGGGGATGGGTGAGAAGTAGGAGGTTAGATAAGGGAAAGGCGGATCTATGATAAAATTCACAGAAGAGCCTCAAAATCTTCAAATTTATTAAATATTATAGCATTTAAATAGTTCTGGCTTCTAAATTCAGATGTTTGTAAGAAGCTGGGATGCATCTTCCTCTGGACATATTTTTGTGTCCATGAATGGTTTGGTTACATAATTCTGTTAGTTGATACTGAAGATACTAGATTAATTAAGGTTTCCATTAGCCTTACTACTACATGTAACAGGAATTTATCTGAGCGTTCCAAATTCAGGTGCCAGGATCATGTCTGTAAATCAGTTAATACAATTATGGTTTGCCAAAACTCTAAACCAAGCGTGTCTTACCTGCGGCCCAGGATGGTTTTGAATGTGGCCCAATACAAATTTGTAGTTTTCTTAAAACATTATGAAATTTTTCTGTGAGTTTTTTAAAAAATTAATTTCCACAGGCTATTGGGGAACAGGTGGTGTTTGGTTACATAAGTAAGTTCTTTAGTGGCGATTTGTGAGATTTTGGTGGACCCATCACCCAAGCAGTATACACTGCACCATATTTGTAGTCTTTTATCCCTCACCCCCTTCCTATCCTTTCCCCTGAGTCCCCAAAGTCCATTGTGTCATTCTTATGTCTTTGTATCCTCATAGCTTAGCTCCCACTTATAAGTGAGAACATATGATGTTTGGTTTTCCACTCCTGAGTTACATAATTGTCTCCAATCTCATCCAGGTTGCTGCGAATGCCATTAATTCATTCCTTTTTATGGCTGAGTAGCATTCCATCATATATATATACACACACACCATAGTTTCTTTTTTTTCTTTCTTTTTTTTTTTTTTTGAGACGAGTCTCGCACTGTCACCCAGGCTGGAGTGCAGTGGAGCGGTCTCGGCTCACTGCAAGCTCTGCCTCTCGGGTTCACGCCATTCTCCTGCCTCAGCCTCCCGAGT